GTGGGGAGGCACTTTTCCTCTGCCCGGCAGCTCTGCGGGACCCCAGTCGGAGCCAGCCCGAGGAGGAGGAGGATCCTAGGACCCAGGTGAGCGAGCCCCGGGAATGCTGCTGCGCATGTGCGGGAGTTGCCTCACCCCGTTCGTATCTAGGGATCCAACGTAAGTCGGATCCACGTAAGTCGGGGACTGCCTGTATATGTCAACAAAATGTAAATATACTCAGAGCATTATTATTCTCACAATTCAAGATGTTGTCAAATATTTTGAAATATTTTCTCCAATAACACAATACACAGAACAAAAATATACCTTTAATCTGAATGTCATCCACTGCTTTGTATTCTGTACTCTTTATAGCTAGTTCCACACCATATCCAGACAAATACATTTTCCTGGAGCTTGGTTTCTGTTTGAACATATTTTAACAAGTGAAAATTATAACTTTAAAAGTGTCCTTAATAGGAAATGAACATAATCTAACACAATCAAGTTAAAAATATCTTGAACAAGTTGTTACTTAATATAAAAAAACATTTACTTACCTCTCCTAACTGTTGTTCTTTGAGATGTGTTGCTCAAATCCATTCTATGTGGGTGCATGCATGCTGCGTGCATGCATCGTTGGAAAATTTTTCTCTTAGCACTACCCGCTGGGCCAGCAGGGGAGCCCCCTGGAGTGGTGCCGCTATATTGGCTCAAATACACCCCCGCTGGCCAGCGTTCTCTCTAAGCTTCACAAAGCCTTGAGCCTCTGACTGGGCTGGGCTGATGAATTATTACCTGTGAAGCTGTGCTGCGGCGCAGCTTAGAGGAAACACACTGCTGCTGGCCCTCCACCCCCTCAGTTCCTTCTTACCGAACTACTCCAATAAAGGGGAGACAGATGGGATTTGAAATGGACATAAGCAACACATCTTGAAGAACAATTGTTACGAGAGGTAAGTAACTGTTTCTTCTTCAAGTGACTGCTCATGTCCATTCCATGTAGCTGACTCAAAAGCAGAAACCAAGGAGGAGGGGTTGGAGTCCTAACCTTCCATGGAGCAGAGAACTTCCCTACTGAGAGCACACCCTCCCTAGCCTCGTGAACCAGCGCAGAATGGTTGGAAAAGCTGTGGACCAAGGACAAGATGGCTGCCATGCAGATGTCCAGGATAAACACCTGAGCCGCAAAGGCTGTGGAGAGAGGCCTGGGCCCTGGTGGACTGGGCCATCAAAGTAGGGCCCGGCACCCTGGCCAAATCATAGAATGCTTGGATACAGGAAGTGATCTACAAAGAAATCCCTTGAGCAGAGACCAGCTGGCCCTTCAGCCTCTCAGCAATTGCCACAAATAACTGTGGGGATTTATGAAAGGTTTTCATTCTATCTAAATAAAAGGCTAAGGCCCTCCTAACATCCAATGCATGTAAGCCCTGTTTTTTTTATCAGAGGCATGAGGCTTGGGGTAAAACATGGGAAGGAAAATATCCTGGGAAACATGAAACTGAGACACTATCTTGGGCCAAATGAGGGCAGAGCTGGACCTTATCCTTAAAAAAGACAGTGTAAGGGGGATCTGACGTTAGCACCCTGAGCTCTGACCCCCATCTGGCGGAGGTGATAGCCACCAGGAATGACACCTTCTAGGAGAGGTGAAGTAGAGAATACATCTCCATAGGTTCAGAGAGGGCCCAGTAAGCTTGGTAAGACTAAGCTGAAGTCCCATGGAGGAACGGGTTGCCATAAATGTGGGTAAAGCCTTCTCTAGCCCCTCAGTAACTGTTGGACCATGGGGTCTGCGAAAAGCCTCTTACCCTGGGAGCCTGAGTGAAAAGCGGAGATAGCCACTCGGTGGACCCTGATGGAAGAGGAGGACAACCCCTGAATTCTTAGATCAAGGAGGTAGTCCAGGACCAATGGGACTGGGGCGTCCATGGGAGACATTCTCTGCTGAGTAGCCCAAATAGCGAATCACTTCAATTTAGCCAGATATGTGGCTCTAGTGGAAGTCTTCCTACTCCCTAGTAAGACCTCCTGCACCTATTCTGAACACTAAAGCTCCAGGGCTGTCAATCATGGAGCTTTCAAGCCATGAGGAGCAGGAACTGCAGGTTTGGATAATGGAGCTTGCTGAAATCCTGCATTATCACATCCAGGAACAAAGGAAGGGCTATCGGCCTCTCGAGAGAGAGGCTGAGGAGTGACGTGAACCAGTGCTGCTTCGGTCACGTTGCTGCTATGACGATGAGGGAGGCTCCAAACTCCTGTGCCTTCAGGGTCACTGTGTACCGAGGAAACAGGAGGAATGAGTAATGCAGGCCCCTAGGCCAATGAGTGAGGAGGCATCCCCCAAAGACCCTCAACCAATCCCCATGAAGGAGCAGAATCAGGGACACGTACTGTTCTGGCAGGTGGAGAACAGATCCAGATGGGGAAAACCCTCACCTGTGAAAGATTTGGAGGGCAACATCTGCCCTGACAGACAACTCGTGACTCACAAATGGCCTGCTCAGCTGGTCCATCAGAGCTACTGGGCAAATGTTCTATTGAAGCCACAGGGAAGGGGAACAAGTACTACCATGCCTGTTTATGTAGAAGACCACTGTCGTATTGTTGGACAGGATAAGGATACGCCTGCCCAAGAGCAGGGAAAAATGTCTGATACCTGAGACAGACTGCCCACAGCTCCCAAACGTGTACGTGTACGAAGAGTTCCTCCCAGGACCACATACCTTGTGTCCTCATGTCTCTGATATGAGCTCCTCATCTGGTGTCAGATCTATCCATCACCAGCTGGAGGGACAGCAGAGGCCAGGAGAATGGGACTCTTATATAGACCACTTCCTCCTGGAGCCATGAGTCCAAGGAGCAGAGGACTCTAGGAGGAACTGTCACCATCCTGTCCCACAGGTGGGAAGACGGGTTGTGCACCTGAGTCAGCCACAGCTGTAATAGATGAAAGCGAAGCCTGGCATGCTGCACCATGTATGTACAGGCAGCCATGAGCCTGACAAATCGCATGCATTCCTATTGGGAAAGGAACATCTCTGGGGGTCAGGAGTTTTAATTCTTAAGGATTTTAGAACATCTTGTGAGTCTTTGAGCCTGTGCAGATGGTGATTGGTCTACTCCGATAAAATTCCAGGACCCTCAAAAGGAAGGTCCTGGATTGTAGTCTGGAGCTCAGGCAGCACCCCAGATACCTATAGCCACGAGCTGCAGCAGAGCACCAGGCCCATGGCCACAGTGTGGGCAGCTGCATCTGCCGAATCCAGGGCTGCTTGTAGGGCTACCCTAGAAATGATTCTACCCTCATCCAAAAGGGACTTAAATTAGGAGCAGGAATCCTGAGGGACGAGCACCGTTAAACGTGACCATGGCAGCCCAGGTATTGTAGGCATAGTGACTTAGGAACACCTGGTAGTTCATTATGCAGAACTAGAAGGTCCATTTTCTTCACCTCGTTTTTGTGGGTCGGGCTTGGCTGACCCTGCCTCTCACAGTGGTGTGTGACCTGGACCACTAAGGACCCCAGCGAAGGATGAGAAGTGTTCATTACCCTCCCAGGGCACAAAATAAAACCTCTTGACTTTCTTTACATTTAATATGATGGGGACTAATTTAGTTACAACTAATCAGGAAATAGATCTTGGAGTCATCGTGGATAGTTCTCTGAAGACATCCACGCAGTGTGCACCAGCAGTCAAAAAAGCAAACAGGATGTTAGGAATCATTAAAAAAGGGATAGAGAAGATCTCACTGCCCTTCTATAATCTATGGTATGCCCACATCTTTAATACTACGTATGGATGTGGTCTCCTCATCTCAGAAAAAATATACTGGCATTAGAAAAGGTTCAGAGAAGGGCAACTAGGATGATTAGGGGTTTGGAACGGGTCCCATATGAAGAGAGATTAAAGAGACACGCACTTTTCAGCTTGGAAAAGAGGAGACTAAGGGGAGGTATGATAGAGGTATATAAAATCATGAGTAGTGTGGAGAAAGTGAATAAGGAAAAGTTATTTACTTGTTCCCATTATGTAAGAACTAGGGGCCACCAAATGAAACTAATGGGTAGCAGGTTTAAAACAAATTAAATGAAGTTCTTCTTCACACAGTGCATAGTCAACCTGTGGAACTCCTTGCCTGAGGAGGTTGTGAAGGCTAGGACTATAACAGAGTTTAAAAGACAACAACATAAATCCATGGAGGTTAAGTCCATTAATGGCTATTAGCCAGTATGGGTAAGGAATGGTGTCCCTAGCTTCTGTTTGTCAGAGGGTGGAGGTGGATGGCAGTAGAGACATCACTTGATCATTAGCTGTTCGGTTCACTCCCTCTGGGATACCTGGCATTGGCCACTGTTGGCAGACAGGACACTGGGCAGGATGGACCTTTGGTCTGACCCATTATGGCTATTCTTATGTTCTTATGTTGTCTGCAGGCAGGATAGAGGCCAGGGTTTGCTAGAGTGACTTAGTGATCTTTATTCAACACCACTCTGGTAGATGTGCCAGCATTAAGGATGTCGACGGTCAGGTCTGAGTCCTCCAACAACTTCTCAACCTGAACCCCTAAACTTTGGACCAGGAACTTGAGAAGGCCCTGGTGTGACCTCAAGTCCATAGAGAGCATCAACGGGATATCCCCCAAGGCCTCATCCGAGGAGGAGGAAGATGTCCTTTTCAGGATGACCTCCTCCAGGTCCTGGTGATGGGAGAAGCCCTGCAAGGCTACCAATAGGGCCATGGTTGATGGCTGAGCTAGGCATGCCACACCTTCTTCAGTAGCCCTGGCTAAAACAGACCTCAGGCCCTGCGAACACCCCAACATAGGGGAGCAGGGCATTGGAGTTGCCAACGGGGGAGCCCTGGGTCCTGAATAGACCGACTCCAGTCTGGAAGGTCCCGCACCCTAGGCCTAATGGTAAGCCCAGGGGGTCCAGAATGGCCACTGGACAGGGGCCTGTCACTCAGGTGGCCAGGCAGGCTGCACCGGCTGGACAGGAGCAGGCTGAGGTGGTCAAGACAGCTGCACAGAAGCACTCTGGTGCTAGGAGAGATGCCCGGAGTACAAGTGGTGCCAAGACCTGGACCTGGAGGCACATGTCGAAGAGAATACCAACTAGGACTCCGAGTTGGTGGAGTAATCGGAGGCTGACCAGGGAGGTGGTGCAGCCGTGGAGACCGGGGACCGGTGAGTGCTTGGACAAAGATTTAGGCTTCCCGTGATGCCCCAAGGAGGACATGGAATTATGGGGCTTGGTGCTGGGGTTCTGTGCATCATAGCCAGGTGCACAGAGTGAGCCAAGACCGAGGACGGTGCCAGGCCTACAACTGGAGCTGGTGCTGGCACCAGGCCCACTGCTGGTCCCAGAGGAGACCGATGGTGTCCCCTCAGGGCCGGTGCTGAAGGCCCTAGTGC